AACCCATGACTGATTAGCTGTTTCTGCCATCGGCTTCTTAACGAATGTATTCGTATAGTCTTCATCTTCAGATAGCATGAACCATGGCCAATAGTAGCTGACATGACAGTAAAATGAAAACTTGCCCAAGTGAAACAAATTCCTCCCCATGTTTCATCTCGTGGATGGTTTCTCTTCTACTTGGTTTACTGCTGGATTACAGCCAATGTGCATCCTATAGCATTCCAGTTGATGGAAACGCAGCTAATTCGCTTTTCTTTTTGGTGACATTTCAAAAGTTCGCTTAAACCCTTGAACCCCCAAAACCTGCCGGCAGGATGGAAAAGAACGTTTATTTTAAACAATCGCCAAAACTACACCGTTTATCCTAGCCAGAAGCTGTAAAAGCTGTCATAATCTTCAGAGTTTCATCTTTTTGAGGGTCCTCAAACACATCACGTGTGACGAACGCTTCCATCAGAATAAGTAACCGAAACAAAGCTGAAAATTGTATTATATTTGATATATTGATATTTCATCAAAAACAGCCCCGGAATAAACCGTTTGAAGTAACCAGATACTGTAAAAAGCATTAAATGCTGCGCTCGTAGAGCCTCAACACTGGTAACACTTTTGGCAACTTGGAAACATGTTGGATGTAGAGATTCCAGTTTTTGTAAAATATATTGTCAAAGAAATTCAACTTGCTTTTTTTTCTTTTCTGTGATTTATGGCATTGTAACTGTGTTGTTCTGCACAAAAGACATTTTTGAGTCCTTTCTACTCCTAGTCATGATTGTGCTGTTTCCATAGAGGTGCAGGACTTTTATACTGCAGTGAAAATCAAGGCCACAGAGAGAAAAATGTGAGAAAAAAAGCCCTGAAACTGCTTTGGTTTCAGGAGGTTACAATCTGCATGGCAATTGAATGAAACACTGTTTTACTTGTTTGTTTTTTTACTGAGCAAAATTGCCACACAAAATCTAAAAAGCTGAGGAAAGTGATAGTGCTGTGGACGCAGCAGCACTAAAGACTGCTCAGCAACAGGTGTGTCTGTACTGACTGCATGCAGCTGCATGCTTGCAGCATTCTAGTCGTTGATTGTTTCGTGCGCCGTACCTTCCATGTGACCTAACTGTGACTCGTCTGTAATGGGGGGGCTCGTAGTCGGCATCCCACCATTGAAGTCCGTTTTTTAATTGGCTTCCATATCCAGGGGAAATGTCATATTAACAAGCATAAAAAAAAACGCAATTGAAAGTACTTCTAATAATCCTCAGCATGCAGCGTCCTCTCATCCTCTACCTCACACACACTACTTAATTAATAGTGTTAACGGCATGCCGTTATTGCACTACACCTAAGCTGACTATCTAAACAGCTCCGGGACCCAATGAAATGTAAAAATGGTGGTCCATCAGCCCCCCCCCCCTCCTGCAGCGTCTCGGCTGCATTTCCCTTTATAGATTGGAGGCATTTCCTTTCTGCTGATGTCAGGAAGTGTGTTTTGGGGCCACAGCCACACATTGTGAGAAATGGGACAGTGCTTGTCATGCTGCTTTTGTCTGTCTCTCTCTCTCTCTTTCTCTCTCTCTCTCTCTCTTCCACTCCCCTCCCCTGATGAGCCACAGGAAGTGATTATGTCTCACCTATTGGCCACCCTGATGATTATACGGAGTCTGGAGTGCGCCACCACAAAAACCACAGGCTTTGTTCATGTTGAATTAAAACTGATATTGAAGTGAACACATAAAAGTATATACATACTTGTTGAAGTATTCAAATCTCCATTTAAGTTAAGGCTTCATGAACTCGTCCTTTTTGCTCACATCAACTCCTGCTGATGGGGGTTGGGCTTTATCTCTAGCGAGCACTCTGCATCTTAAAATTAATGAAAGACATGATGTGAGATGGAATATGCATATACACAGCAGATGCATCCAAATGAGTGACAGAAAGTACTATTGGTAAGCATGACTCATGAATGAGTAATCCCATTACAAATGGGGAATACACATTCATGATTTAAATAAGGATTAAGGAAATGAATAACTGATTTTGAAAAAGAATTGGTCTACATAATTAATTCAAATGTATTTTGAAACATTTTAAATGATCATTTGCAACATTGATATACTTATATATTTAATGCATTTTAATAGCCTTTAAAATGTATTTTGTGATTCCATCGTATAATGGAATTACTCATCAGCGATTTAAAGACGAATATAAGGAAATAAATAATAGTGATTAAATAAAAGTAATTTGTCTAATTAATTAAATAAAATATATTTTGATATACTAATATAATTCATTCATTCTTAATAGCCTTTTAAAAAGATAATTGTATTATTAATCGAAATCAATGATTAATTACAAGTTAGAAGAGTCTCATTAGTGGCACACTGTGGACTCCATACATTCAGCAGTACATCTTCTGTTTCTTTCATTGACCACCCTGCAACTCACATTCTTTCTCTTTCCTTATTTCTCCATAAACTGATGATTCCATAATATATATTTATACGTTCATCAATGCCGTTTTGTCGTAATTAGTGACGCTGTACGAGCAACAGCTCCGTTTTCCCACAGGGATCATGAAAGGTTTGCCTCACAGAATTCCTCATTGTAGTCTCTCGGCAGCAATTTGTCTGAAGCTGATGGTGATGTTTCACACTCGGTCTAATTAGACTGAAATAAGAAGGGAGAGTGGGCTTATCAATCCAAAAGGGGTGTTTTAGTCTTTTCTTTTTCTTTTTTGTCAGGGACGGCAGCTGTGTTATTAAAGGCTTGAGTGCAGTGCAGCAAAGAGTAACAGAGATCTGTATATTTGTCAGTAGCTTGTAAGAGGATCATGTCCACAGGCCTGGAATCTCCTTTATATTATTACTTACAGCAGCTAGAATCCCAAGGGCTCTCTCTTACACACACACACACACGAATAACATTGTATTCTACTGTTCTGTCCGACACCTCATTATTCCTCTTGCCGGCGAGCTCTTATCTCATAAAACAAGATGAAAATGCTGTGTGGTTTGACTAAGTGGTACGTCACCGTCACAGTGTATTTGCTTTTCAGCAGTAAGGTTAGCTACATGTAAATGGCACTGTAAAGGTATGGTAAATAAAACAACATCCCTAGGTCTTATGTTGCTGCTACTGTGTTCAAGAAATCTCCATGAAAAAGAGAACAATAGCAGCCACCACCAGTTTAAAAGTTTAAGTGTACGTTACATTGAGAATATTTTATGCCGGTTTACCCTGCCATGAGACAGCCTTAGAGTCCATGTTTCTGACAGGGAACTGAAGCCACCAGACTCAATTTATAAAAATGTTGGTGAATTCGAAATCACCAAAGTCACACAATGCCACAAACATTAACCGGTCGAGGCAGCGGTAGACCAGCAAACTTCCGTGTTCTGTCAGGGTAAAATGACTATGTTTTTTTTAATGGACTCTGGTGACTTTAGATGAATAGGCTTCAGTTGCTGTCTCGCTCCCTCTTCCTACATCAGCAGCAAAACACGATTTTGATTTGGCCCCCGGTGCACATTTTCTTCTCGGGGCCCTCGCCCCATACACAAGCAGCACGCTCGCGCACACTCACAAGCTCTCGGGCACACGCAACCACTTCAGGCAATTGTGAACTAGAAGCCAGAGGCTCCTAATGCGACTCCCATCCTGCAAACTGGCCTTCGATCAGCACCACGGACAGCAGCCGGAGTGGCAAATTCATTAACGCCAAATTAACAGCATGCCCCTTACAGCAGCTGCACAATATATTGCTGTAGATTTAAATCCCTGATCGCACAACATGATAACAAAGGCAAACCTGTACTCGCCCATTAGAAGGTCATCTTACGGGCCTTGCACTCGGCAAAGTCATTAACAATGCCGCTTAAGAAGACTGTGTGAATCGGTCACTGTGCAGGAGGGGCTCCATCTACATAAAGCTTCCTACACACGGGCCCCTGACAGCTTCTGGGCCCCTGTGCAGCTGCACCGGTTGCACCGTCCACTTTTACATCTACAGTGCCGTGGCGTCTGACACGTTACTCATGGCAATTTTACCATGTCATGTGATCACATTCTGTTCTTCCATCCAAAAGAGGAAAAAAACTTCATCTTGTGTTCCATTGGAGGTGGAAACAGGGTTCAGTGCCGGGCAGTGGGCCAGCCTCCCTCTAATGGTTCGGAAAGTCCCACTCACCGCTGCTGCTTGGTTGGCCAATGCACCGATTTATGCGCACTCCATTGAAAAGGTGGCCTTTACTTCAAGTTCATTTACCATCAAAAAGGGAGAGAGAGAACTTATTATTTTAAGAAACGAGTTGAAAAACAGGATGCAATTTTTTTTCTTTTTCTCTGGAGGCTGACTGCAAACTGGTGGCAGCGGAGATTTCTCCAGCCGTGTCCGGCCGGGCCCACCCCTCTGAAATTGAACCCCGCTCTCCAGTGACGCTGCGGCAGGGCTGTTTGGAGGGGATAGGAGAGAGTAGGGGGCGTCCCTCGACTTCTATTAAAGACGAGCGAGCAGGGTTCAAACCCCTTCGACCTCTCGGCGAAATGAACAGGGGAGAGGAAAAAGTTGAGGCGTTAAAAAAAGCAATATCCCAAAGGCTCGGCGGGTAATTCTCGATCACAACTCTTTCCCTGAACTGAGACCTTTTACGTAGTCACCTCAATTATACTGTACCACCTTTGCTCTGAACTTGGGCTTCCTTCCACAGCTCACACTACATGACAGCATGCATTTATACAAATGCCGAGGGAGTCACCGCATCATGGGGAGAGTATGCTTGTGTGTGTGTGTGTTTGTGGCGAGAGGTTTAGTTCCAATTGGAGGCCTCGTTTGCTCTGAGGCATTCTCCGGAGACCCTTATTTGTAGAGGCCTCTTGCCGAGAAGGTTAGGGTGGTAAAAAATGCAGTGCCCATGTTCTTTTTTGCTTTTCTCGACTGGATTTTCTGATCTAAGTGATTGATGTCCCTCTTCCTGTGTTTCTTTTCCCCAACCTCACAGCACAGCCGAATCCGCCGAAAATTCACGAAGGATGGTGGGCGTACAAAGAGGTGGTGCAGGGGAGCTTCGTACCAGGTAAGCCTCGAAACAGCACACACCCATAACCACACAGTGCGCTTGATCCCGAAGTGCAAGCATATTACATATTTAAGATGTCATCGGGGCCACCTTGCCATCGGCGTTGTTTTCTCATTCTGACAAAGACCCTTTCGCCCTTCCCACACAGACGGCAACCTTTTTTCACCGATTGATTGACGGCAGCTCGCTGTTCCTTCACCACCTTTTTCCATCTTGTCGTGCATCTGCACGTCAGGTCAATTAGTTTTCCCCGAGATTGTGTTTTTATGCTGAGCCAAGGCGCTTTTGATAAAGCCCGCAGGTGGCAGCGTGCAGGAGTGTGTCTACGTGAGGCGGTGTCTATGCCTACCAGGACCAAATGTGTGCGCACACGCGTAGAACAATTAGGGAAAATTCAAGGAGAGGACTTTTTGCCGGGACTCAGGTCTGGAAGAAATCAAGGTTACGGGAGGTAAAAGGTAGGAGTTTTGTAGATCCCAATATTCTCAACTAATGTTCTGCAAGGTGTCATTCAATTGGAACCCTACTTTCACCCATAGACTGTGTATAAGAAGTGGACGTAGTCATGGTGACGTCACCCATTGGTTTGTGGACTGTTGTTTTAAAGCCTTGGATACGACGATTTCGCCGACGACATCTTGAATAATGACCGTCACCATCTTGACTTTTTGCAACCAATGAACAGTTATCATATTTTAAATGTGGAGGAGTGACGTAAAGACGCCGTATACGTCTAAATTACAGTAGCCCCGTCTTAAAACATAATCCTCTTTATGGTCTATTTGACTCTAAATGGACCATCATTTACTAGATGAACATCATGCTGTATTGAAGACGACTTGAAACTAGAGATTGAGACCATAAACTCATGTTTACAATGTTTACTGAGGTAATAAATCAAGAGAGAAGTAGAGTCATTTTCTCATAGACTTCTATGCAATCAGACTTTTTTTTGCAACCAGAAGAGTCACCCCCTGCTGGTCAGTAGAGAGAATGCAAGTTTTAAGACACTTCTGCATCGGCTTCACTCGGCAGAGCTGCCTCCTGCTTTTACCCCAAATGCAGAAGCCACAAAATTACTCTAACAAAGCCATCGCTTCCAATGAACTCCGTGAAACAAGTTGGCACCAACTGCCCTATATTACAGAGAATAAAGGAGAAGTTAAATCCTGCATCTCTGATTTCCCCAGCGGAAATGTGACTCTAGACTCCAGTACGTGAGAAAAAAAATCTGAAATATTGCAGCGAATATCAGAGAGGATGGAGTCCAAACGAACAAACCTAGTTTACAATTTTTACCAAATTTCCAGAAAAAAAACACAAAAGAAAAAAGCAATTCGATTGTGCCTTTCCACCAACTAATGTAAGCAGTCATCTATATAAAACAGGTGGTGGCACTAAATTGCGATTGCAGGAGAAGACGCCATGATAAAAAGAGCGTCAATCAATTGGTTATTTACCCGCTAATTTCAGCATTGTTGGCATTTAAATGCTAGCTTCCCGTGGCACGCGGTGCGTACGGTCTGTCCGAAATCGGTGGCAAAATTTCTCGAGGAAAAATTCCAAAAAAAAAAGATTAAAAAAAACTGAAGGAGCTGATGGGAACCCAGAGTGATACCGTCTTAATTCTGATTGTCATCATCTCCTCCAAGACGCATGCTACAAGAATACACTTACAAAACAGTCCCAGTCTTTGTGGAGCCAGTGGAGACATATACCACGTAGACCGCTGGGTTACGCCACCCAAATTGTGTCTGTTTCACAAAGCACACAAGGCTTTCCCAGCATTGGCCAGGCATTCATAAATAAGCGTGTTAAATAAGTGTTTGTTTGTCCTCTTCCCTCTGGCACCAAACCGCTCAGTGGGTTTGTCGCTCCCCGTTTGTCTCTCAGCCGTCTCCCCTCGCACTCGCTTTCACTAACCCGCCGCGCAACAGCTGGAGCCGTCACAACAGCTAGAGCCGTCACAACACCCATTCACGATCCTCCTGTGGCCCCGCGGAGCATTCACAACCCCCGAGATACCTTGCTCTTCAGACGGCAGGCTTTCAATAGCTGGGACGGAAAAAAGAGGAAAGAAAGGTTTGTTTTTTGTTTTTTTCCGCCGAGAGAAATAATGTTGGAGCACAAGTCTTATCGCGCTACTTGGACAGCGACTGGCGATGCAAGAGTTCAGCTTGTGCACAGGGGTTTCAGTCATATGCACATAAGCATGGGTCATTTTAGAGTAATAATGTCCTCCGTTAGAGCAGCACTGCACCGCAACGAGTATCATCTAACCTTTCCTCATCTACACTTTCACATATAGAAACCCATTAGTGCTGTTGTATCTACTTTTTTTTAAAATATATATATCATCTGACAGTTCCGGTGGGGATCTTAAGGAAAGTTGTATGCATTCGATCGGCAGCCAAAGTAATATTGTGGAAATTGAAAAGGAAATAATGCTTGTCCCTCGCTGGGAAAGGCACTAACGTGACTGCAAGACTCCACTCAACTCGGGTACCGTAGTGCTATCCGAGCGCTAAGCCCTCTCCACTTCTTTCCACCTGTTAATGGCCCATTTCTCTTTCCAGCGGAGGTCAAAAGCTGCATCTTTGAGACGTTCGCACTCCCAAGGTTAGCAAAGCAAATGCAATCACTTTCTCCGGCCCGTGTCACTGCGGGCTGACCTTTTTGGAATACTGCCATAGCTCTCTCAATTGGCTTTAAATTCGGTAAAGGTCAGATATGACCCTTAAGTGGCGCGTCACTTTTTTCCCTATTTGCTCTCGCCTCCTCCTCCTTTCTACACGTCTGGCTGAGCCGTTTCATTTCAGTCCTGGGTCCCTCATTTCACCGTTAATTAATGGATGGCGCGCGGGACACGTGTGATTTACTTAATTTCAGCGCTCGTTAGTTTGTGTCTGGTGTGCGCTTTTATGATTTAACTGAACCTTAATTAACACGGTGCAGTGCAACTTCCAACTTGAGCGCCTGCTGTGTCACGAAAGTCTATGTGAGCCTATCATAATGTCACGGGACCGAAAATAGAAGCTTCCAATTAAGCCAGCTAATAAGCGGTCATTGTAATGCTCCGGAGTTATTCAGGGGAATATATGAGTATTGTTTTTGAATTGTTCCCATGGAACCATCGGTGTGATTGCAGATTATCATTCATTGATGCGGGTCAGTCTGTATTTCATGACATAAGCAGGTTATTAGGACTTAATTGCATCGTAAATATAATACAAAAATAAATATTAAACAAAAATCTGAAGAAAAAAGCTTAATTGTTATCATATGTATGGGACTTAAACCTGCTTCGGGTGTTTTGAAACAAGTGCATTTCATGTGTGTTACTTTTTCCACTGTACAGTCTCTCAGTAGATTTAGTGGATCAGGACTGGGACTGATCCACAATGATCACTGTGAGTCAGCCTGATGCGTTTTTCCGGTCATTCTGCGTTTATGTCAGCAACATTTTGCAGGTGTATCAAAACCCCTCGAGTGCTGCTGTTTCCATTTTGACACATTTTAACTTAAAAGGTGCTACATTTTAAATTCAGAGCCTAAATGTGATGAAGGGATTGCCTCCACACGGCTCTCAACATGGTGACGTGGCCCTCGTGGACCGTGGATGTCAAAAATGTCTGCACAAAGTAGAAAGGGCTACTTGCTCTGGGGGACGGACCCGCCGGTTTAAAAACGTGGAATAGACGCAAAGTGTCATTGCAAAGAGTTAAGAAAATGGGAGAGCGTCTTCATTCCCTGCTCAGGTCGACATCACCTCACTACATCTTTACATAAAAATAGTTGTTTGCACCTTTAAGTTCTTTAAGTTCATGTCCAGGCTGTTGAGAGGTGCCGTGGAAATCCTGTTCAAATTGTGCCTGCTGCTGTCGATCGGCACCCACGCTGCTTAACTCACAGAGAATTATTTTCTCAATAAAGCGGGACACTTGTGGAAAATGTGGGATGGAAGGAGATCATCAAAGGAAAGCTTGTGATGCGGGTCTGAATCTTTTTTTCAATACCGAGTAGGGAATTGAATTCTTTCATCCCTGATTTGTTTTACAAAATACGTGTTACGATGCCAGCTTTTAGAGTTGGTACAAAAACAAAACCACCACTTCTTTCTTTGGCTCTCTGTGACTCTCAGAGATCATCAGAATGATGCGTGTTCGGCAACGAGATCAGTAAAGCCGACCAAAACCCTTTTTTATGGGCTGTCTTGATGCGATTGCACGCGGCCCCCGTGTGACGGGACATCAGCATGGGCGAGGCACTTCATTTACCACACACTTTTATACTCATGCTTACTCGTTCTTTGTACGACACCGTGATGTACAGTTTCTTTCCCGCACTTACACTGCATGTTAGTACTTTGTTTTGTACCTCTGCACCTCATGTGTAGTCTGAATGCGGCAATAATTGTTTCTTTTTGCGTTTAGACCAAGATGAACAATTCTATTCCTCTATGCACAGCACTGTGTACAGTTTGGATGTTGGAGGTCTATCTTGTCTCTTACACCCTGCATCCTTTCATTGGCTTGATTTTTGCATACGGGGCTGTAGTAGCCAGGACCTTTCAAATTCTAGTGCATTGAGTCCAAAGTCACGCCAAAACTTGACCACAATTATGTTTTTGTTTTTCTTGTGAGCATTTTGTTGTTGTCGGCGGTAACCTTGGAGACAAATACTGTGCGTTTACTACAAATTGTCTCACAATAAAAGCCACCCCACGTGTCTTCATTTGGATGCTTTTCATTTGAAGTAGCACAAAGTTTGCATTAGCAGTAAGTTAATGCAGCTCTGGTACAACTGTAGGACAGTGAATACCGTAATGTTGGAACTGAATTTAAAGCTGAAGGGCAATTCAGTGAAATACATTTTTCTAAAAATTAGTATAGGTAAAATTAAGCACATTTTTCAAAAGCTTTCTGTCAGTACATTAATTGAATACCCCTATTACAGAGATATTTACAGAATGAAAGTACATCGCTGACTACAGCAAT